CCTGTGCTTTAATGAATCTGCTGCACCCTCTGGGCTGAAGTCTTCTTCTAAATCCTCTGGGCTGAGCACATACATGGAGGATTCTACCCCAAAAGCTACTGAGCCTCATGAGCATGTGAAAAGTCAAAGAAAGGTCATAAAGTGTGATTCCTTCTGAAATCTGACTTCTGTGAGAAAGAGAAAACACACCTAGTGTAACTGCTGTCTGCATTGCTGGTGGGGGACCAGCCCCTGAACACACTCCTGCCTGCCTCACTCTCACATGTGCCAAGTTGAAGACTTGTAAAACATGTGACACAACTGCCTAAAGTCATACGCACACATTTCCAACTTACTTTCTGGGACTTCCTGCTGGATCAAGTAGTACTGAGCAGAGAAACCATCTTTAGCCACTGCCAGGTCCGTGTGGAAGGTGAGCGAGAGGACGCCGGTGGTTGAGCGGATGTCCGATGGCATCTTAGTGCCACAGTACCTGCCTATCAAGGGGCCGACTGCAAAAGAAAGAGCAGCAAAGGTAATGCCTGCTTTCCCACCGGCCTCCTGGGTCACCAGCAGACTGGCATCACTCAGCAGGGATGCCTTAGAGGGACCGATGAGGATAAAAGAAAGGCTTTGGGGATGGGCTGTTTTTCACACCCGCTGGCCCGGTGCCAATGCAGTGCGCCGTGCAGAAATACCCACTGCAGCAGGCGTTGCTCTGCAATTGCTGGGAAATGCTCCAATCTGCTCTGTTTCTCAGTGTCGGTACAGAGTAGGGAGGTCTTCCCAGCACGGCGTGAACCCACTGCTCTTCCCTGAGGGAGGACTGGTGGTATCTTGGAGTGCTGCATGGGGCTTTTCAGATCAGTGGTTACAACAGAGCAGTAGCTTGGGGTTTAATGCATGCAGCCTTCTGCAAGTGCACCGTCCCCACAGCCAGCCATGGAGTGCCCCGATGGCAGGCTGCACGCTGCAGCCATGACCGAGGTTAGGCACCTTTGATGTTCAGACACAGACTGCACAGTCTTGGAGCTTTGTGAGACACCAAGAGAGGCTGAGGACAACAGCACAGCACCCCACAGCTTACCCTGAGGGATGCCATCCCAGATGTCCAGCCAGTCGTACTTGCAGTCTCCTTCCCCTGCCTGCAGCGGGTCGTGCTCAAGGTCAAAGAGCAGAAAATGGAGGAGGATTTCTGTCTTTGGCTTGGCTATGATGGTGAAGACACAGTCCAGGTTGTGTGGGTACTTGTCAGGGAAACCTGGAGACTCAATAGTGCCATTGGAGGCAGTGAAGTTTCTGGAGCAGTCCTCAGAACCTGTAGTGGCAGGAAAAAGCCCACAACCTTAGCAAAAATGCAGCTTAACACCAACAGCTTGACACTGTGGAAACCCCATTTTGAGCTTAGAGGGGTTGTATACTAACTTCTGGAAATGTCCTGTAACCCAAGAGCTGTGTGTATTCCTGCAAGGACCAAGAGGGTGATTTTCAAAGCTTTCAACAGATGGAGAGACAAGGTCCATGTGTTCACTAGAGTGGATTGCATGGTTCTAAATCCCTCAGACAGCTCTGCAAACATAACTTGTACACCACTGCTGATCCCCCTGCCAATTACTCCAAAAACAGGACTAAGAGAGTGATCCCATCCAAAGCCACGGCTAGGATTTGGCAGGCCAGCACCCTGCCATGTCCTCCATGCCGGTGGTGGCGGCCCTGGTGGGGAAAGAAGGCCACATCAAGCTGGGCTGGGCTTCCCCAGCTGGTCCTATGGCCTGTAAGCCAGGACGCTGAGCAGTGACCTGCTGGGATACCTTGGTCCACAGCCTCCAAAGCCTGCACGGGGCTGGATAACGTGCAGGGGGCTGTGGTACGTGGTCCTCACTGCCGTGGCTGCCACCCACCAGCTGCGCTGGCCAAGGACCACTGCAGCTGCAGGTCTGATGGAAGAGCCTCTGTTCAGGGAGTGGGCTGCCTGGGAAGGGGCAGAGAGGAGTAACGGGGATGTCATCTCTTTGGAAAAGCTATCCCCAGGGGCTAGGCTCCTGCAACCTCTCCCATTCCGACACGCACATCTGTGCCTCAGTTTCCTCTTCAGAAATTCAGGAAGCACAAATATTTACACAGGGCAAGAGCCCAGGGCAGGGTGCCAATGTTAGCTGGAAACCCTTGGGAAATGCGTGGTTAGCCTGCAGCCCCCCGAGACCCACGCAAGGGATGAGGGCCAGCTCCAGCACACATCCCCTCTCCACGACCATGGCGAGAGTGGGGGTAACAGGGGCTGTGGCAGGGGAATCTCTGCTGAGAGGAGGAACAGAGCCCGCTTTCTCACAGACTGAGCTGGCCACACCAGAAATGCAAGTTATTTCTATCCTTAAGGAAGACCTTTGCGTGGCGAGGAGGGCAGACAATGTTGCCTCTTATTTATTGCTGACCTCAGCACTGGCCTCGGCTGCAGCCGGGCCAGCTCCGTGCCCCCTCTCATACAGCCAAGGTGCCTCGGGGTGGCTGGGGAAAGGGGAATTTGTGTCATATTCATACCACGGTGACTTTGAAACTGCTGCACTGTGGAGACAGGACAATAGGCAACAGAAATCTGCAGCCTGAAGCTATCAGAGGCGAAAGGGGATGTTAGAGAGGCTGCCAGCCACTGCTGCAACCCGGCATTAGCATTCGCAAAGGTTTATGCTTTGGTTTTACTGGGACACTCTCCTTCTCCTCTACAAACCCTTCTGCTCCAGCTCTTCCAGGCAGCACAAACCTTCCCCGGACTAATGGGAGACTTGTTATTCAATTCGGCATTAACCTACAGGAGTCAGGCCAGCAGCCCGCAGTAATAGCAGGATCCCGGCACTGCATTATGCAGTGCCTAGTTGGAGAGCCACTCAGGAGGGGCTCTTAATTGACTACCTAATGAAGCAGCCAGCTTTTCTGGTGTGAACCTGTGGGGTAAAATGCAGAGGCAAAAAATAAGGCCAAACACAAATCACAGCGTAATGCCGCAAACAGGGATAAGGGTGTACTTCGTTCCAAACAGCTTGAAAGACAAATAGATAAATAGGGAAAATAACACAAGCTCCAAGCTAGGGAGAAAATCAAAGACTAAACCCAGAGTCAGGGACTGTCCTCTAGAGACAAGAGAGAGATGTAACTATGTCATTGCATTACACAACAACAGTCTCCTCATGTGGGGCTCTTATCGCATTTGGCATCTTTGTCTACAGTTTGGCTGATAGCAGCAAACACAATGATCAGGTTTTTATAAGGAAGCTGCATATAATCAACGTGAGTCATGCTGGCTTCAGCAGCACGGACCAGCCTGAGAGGAGACTTTGATGCCCAGCGATGGAGGGCTCAGGCCAGCCCTGCCAAACTGACTCACAAAGTGAGCAGCAGGGAGGCTGGAGCAGCCAGGGCAGGCTGCTCTTTAGTCAGCCCACAGACCGCTGACTGATACCCATCAGGGGATTCAAAGACTGGTATGCAGTTGTTTGTATGCAGATTGCTCCTCTCACACCATGATAAGGGAAATTTAGCACAAGGTGTGGAAATAAATGCTCAGCTGAAAAGAGTTGGTTTTTTAGGTCACCTTTAAGAAAGAAAGAAGCTGCAGCCAACTGCCTTTACTGATGTGGACAATGACAATCCCATGACCTTTAAAGCTGGTGACACCCTTGCTGGCCAGCCTCACAGCTCAGATGGAAACTTCGCCCGTGCCTGCCTGCCTGCCTGCCAACAAAAGGCAGGGCTGGCTTGTACTGCGGGAGCTCCAGGGGGACAGGGGCTGGGCAGCCAAAGTGGGCTGGAGGTGCTCCTGGATCACAGGCTCATTGCCGCTCCTGTGCCAAAACCTGCCTTGCCAGGCTGGATTTCGTGGGCTGTGGCTGGAAGAAAGCGTGGCTATTTCCAGAGAGGGTGGCTGCCTGCAGAGGGGTGGTGGTGGCAAAAGGAGGCCCAACACCACTTCAGGCTTGAGGGAAGCTCTGCAGGAACCTACATGGAGGGACATGAACTCAGCTTCAGCCTCCATCCAACATCCAATCCCTTCCAGATCAGCCCTTGCTTCCTCTACCTCCCCTACCAGTAGCAACAAAATCTCCTTTTCCCATGAATTTGGACCCTTGCTGGTTTCCACCCAGGCAGACGGGAGTCCTGACTGCCCATTCCTTCCCACAGCCACACTCAGCCTGGCCTGACCACCTCAGCCAGCTGGACCACTCTAAGTTGCCGCGTGCCGCGGCTTAGGGCACAGAGCCGGTGTGAGGACAGGCACAACCCAGCACAGCCTGCTGGGCTCAGGTGGGGTGTGTACGAGAGGCAAGGGAGGCTGACCTGGGTCGGCAGTCTTCCCACCTGAACACAGGCATTCTCCACTGTCCTCACTGCTGGCTACTGGCCTCGGCAAACCCCAGTGATGAAACGGGATGAACCACTAAACTCTTTCAGGACTGATCTGCATCCTAACCATTTACAAACAGCAGTGGTGAGCTGGCTGCACCGCAACAGCTCAATGACCAGTTATAAAGCCCAGGCAACCACCAGCAACAGCACTTTCCTCATCCACCTGAACCTCCAGACACCTCCTGTCCTCACCATTTCACAACGGATTTGGGGAGTCCCATTCCCATCCTCTTGCGGCAGCCTCCACCTTCACATCTACCTGTGACCGGGTTGCGGGCTGCCTGCGCACCCCTGCCTGCCACACAGCTGGGCCAGGGCCCCCAGGCACTGGTGCCTGTGCTCCCTGCCTTCCCTTTGAAGAGGCTGGGTAAGTGACCCTGTTGCACTCCTTTCTGGCTCTTCACTAGGCACGGGCATTTTTTCATGCTGGATGCGATGATGTGAACGCCACGTGTGCTTTCTTCCAACGTACCCCTTGAAGGAATGTAGGCACAGGGCAGGTGCCTGCATCCCCATGCAAAACACACTCTTGCTCCCTTGGCATGCAGGCACACCTCTCACCCGTGCACATACACAGCATGCACAGAGTGGGTTTTATTTTCTCAAGCCTCCTTCTTCACAGACACACAATTCTGGCAAATATTTAGACAGAAACACTATTAAAAGGCCTTTGAGCAGCTTTTCCTTTCCTCAATAATAGTTTGGTATTAAACAGAATTATGAATAGTTCCTCTTATATCTGCCTGGAAAGGCACCACCTCAGCCCTTGACAGCACTGCTGACAGCAGCCCCTTGAAAACCAGAGCTCCCCAGTTACAAACCCTCCTTCCAGGAGAGAAAACACAGCGTCATTGATCAGCTCTGAATCGCAGCTCCACAGGAGGGGGAGCTCCATGCGCTCCTAACAGAGGGACAATCCCCACTTAGCCCTAACAAGCTCCACTCATGCCAGGGAGAAAAGATATATGTTTCTAGTCCTCTAATACAAGAGTGCATTTAACAAGGAACCCTGCTTTTGATGCCACACTGTGATCCAAAAACTCACTATCACGCTCTACTAACATCTTTACCTTCTTGGAAATGTGATGCAACAGACTTGCTTAAATTAAAAAAAAAAAAAAAAAAAGTTGTCCTTCACCTTCATCTCTGGAGAACACGCTAAAAATCATATTGAGAAGGTGGCCAAAGACATCTCCTTGTGAAGATCATTGTGGCAAACAGCCTGGGAGACAGGCACTGACACTCACCTGTCTTGTAGATCTCGTAGCGCAGGGAGAAGCCGGCACCTTGCCGTGCATAGTCCGAGGTGAACTTGATATAGAGAGAGGGGCCAGAAGAGATGATGGTAGGAGGTGCTATGTTCCCACAGTGCTTGCCCAGCAGGTCTGCCGCTTCATTGTCGCCATCTCGGATCTCGATGTAGTCGTACCTGTGGAGGCAGGTGAAACGGCAGTGAAACCATCTGTCAGGGAGATGCTTCAGGATGCCAAGAACAAACACAAAACACTTCTTTATATCTGCATATTTCACAGAACATCTTCCAGACAGGTATCCGGGACTTTGTCACTCCCACCACACCACACACCCCCCAGTATATTTTTTCCCTTTTGTCTGTCTGGCTACATTTAAGTCCCTTCCTCTGTTGCTCCTCACATCATTAATTTATTGCACCCATATCCACTTGAACTTCAGAGACAACATGCAAAATTTAGGACACAATTTACCTCTATTTCCACAAGACTCCTTCGGCATGGAAGAAGCTCAGACACGACTCTCCTGGGGCTGCTCTCTTTCCTTTACCTCTCTCCGTTAAGTGCCATCGTGCTACTTAGCACAGCTCAGTTTATTCCACTATCCAGGTGAGATTTGGCCAAGCACACACCAAGCATTAAACAGTCAATGTTCAATCCATGTGAGCTGGTAGCTATTTTGTGCAGTCTGCACCACATTGGTCCTTTAACAAGCGTGGCCAGTACACTTAACTTAGCACGTGGACAGTAATACCAATCCACTTCTATGAAGTGCTAATGAAGATTTTCTGTGGATGAGAAGTGCTGTGTAGGACCTGGGTAACCACATTCACTATTGTCTGATCCTTGTACACCCTGTAACCACAACCTGCCTTTGCTAAACCCAATGTGGAGATGCCCCACCTGCCCGCCACCATAGCTCCTGGGCATCTGAATGGTCTGGGGGAGGAATGTGTAGGGTTGGAAGAATTGCCTCCTGGTGCAGAGACAAAAGCTGGCTGCAAAGTCTGGCTGGAAGGTGAAACTCCCACCAATTCCTTCATATTTTCTAGGCCATGCCTAATGGCAAGGTAGTATCAGGCTCTGTATGCCGTGAAGAAACAAACAGCTGTTACGTGAACATCTTGTTCTTCAGTTGCTTTCTACCATCTGCACTCTCCCGCCCCTCTTCTCCCTCTCTGGCCAGCACACCGCTATTTACAGAAACTGCCCATCTCCCTTCCACTGTTTATTCGCTTTGTATCAACCTGTTTGAACAACACGCTACAGCTCTTCTCACGGGGCCAGGGAGGGAAAAAGTACTTCCAGGCTGCCAGGAATCTGCCTTTCTTCTTTGTCACAAGATCTCTTGTTTGGGAATAGAGAGTTGAAAGGAGAAGTAGCTTGCTGGATACAGAATGATCCTCATGTGACTCATTCCTGTTCTGCAAAGCACACATCGGCAGGCAACAATCTCAAAACAAACTTACAGGGACTCAGTGTGCTCCTCCACAAAGAAAGATGGCCCGGATGGCTTCGGTTTCACTCCTTTCTGGGACTAAATCAGGCTGAGAGCCAGAAGCAAAATGCCTGCAGATAAAATCCTGTCTGTGCTGGACCAGACACTCAGCTAGCTGCAATCACCCAGCCTTTAACTTCGTTACAGACTCAATTGGCTTGGCCAAGGTGAAATCCAAGCGGTCTTTAGAAGAGGCACTCGCACAGGAAGAGCATTTGGCTTAGCTGGTGGGTGGACACACAGCGATGTAAACGACGATCCGTTCCCTCTGCTCTCCTCAGCTCTGTGTAGCTCCCTATCACCTCGTGACCCCTTATTACCCTGACACCGTCCAGCAGCACCCTGCATGACCCCACTAATGTCCATCATGTGTGGCTCGATCCCACCATCTCCCCCGGGAGGAGGAACATAGAGGGCAGTGTTAGTGCTGCTTTTAAGTAGAATTTTTTTCCTCCTTGTTTGTCTATTTGTTTAAAGTAGCACTGAGCAAACAGCGGGGACATTTTGTTCTCTAAATAACTACTTGCTCTCAGTGCACTTGCAGCCCTTCCACATCTGAAGTACACATCTGTGGCGCAGGACTACCGGCTACTAGCGAAACCGTGACTATGTGGCAAAAAATTAATGTGGTGAAAACCATGAATGTTGGCAAAACATAGTTAAGAGAGCGGATTGTAAAAGCTGCCATTTGCATGGCACAGGCAGAGGTTAGCTGCACCCCAGGGAATCACATCTGTTTGTGTCCTTGTGGGGTTGTAACTCGCCAACACAGTACATGGGTTCAACTACTTGACTGTAATGATCACAGCTTCTGCTGTAGCCAACACACCAAACAGGCTAGTGCTGTCCACATGGCTCCTCAAACCACCCAGTGCTGTAGGAGCCCTGGCAATTTCAGAAGCAAATTCTGGACCAAGAAATATTTGCTTATTGAATGGATGAATAACTTCCAATAATACATACAATTTGGGAATGTTGCAATCTGCTCATGGGCAATCTGCAAATGGAAAATTAAAAGAAAGAATCTAGTAAGTAAATCACCAGGAAATATTTGCCTCTCTGAATTAAACCCTGTTTGGCTTCATTCAAGCATCTAACTGAGCTTTCTCCTACTGGAGCTAATCCTTAATAAATCAAATGTTACAAACAAGTAAAAAAGCCCCTAGGAGAAGGTCAGGGAATCATTTTTGCCAAATGTAAAATGAATAAAAATTCTTCCCTAGTCAAAAAATCTTGGCCCAAGCCCTCTGCTCCTCTGGCAAAACTCTCTTTCTTCAGGTCATATAAACAGTGTGAATTGGGAGAGTATTACACTCAGGAGATCACTCCTGCCCAGATGAGCAGGAGCACCTACTTCCTCTCCAACATAGCAATTAAGCTTTAGGCTTTCAAAATGAAACACCAAAAACGTCCGGTCCAAACTGTGAAACTTTCAAACTTCAGCGAGAACACTGGCTAATCCCCACCACAGACTCTTTTGGCATCATGTGTCCATGCCTTGGCCCTCAATCAAAGAAGCTGATAAACCCCATTCTCCTCACGTTGGGTCATTGGCCATGTTAAAATCTAATTTGGCCAGACCTTTGCTTCTGCTAAGCTTAAGCATGGTTTCCAGACCTTGTTCTTCCCATGTGAAAAACAAGAAGAAAAACTGGAAAGAAGGAAACCCAACCCTGGGGATGCTTTCCACTCTAACCATTTCACTTCCAGATAATTACAGACTAGGGAACAGCTGGGTGGGACGTATTCATGCAGCGATGGCATCCAAACTGTCTTGACCAGTGCCCAGCAATTTGCATTTCACTCATATAACCAAATCCATTGTTTCAGTCAATGTGCACCAACCTCCTTGTGGGCTGACCTCTCTGGCATTACCTCCAGTGGGCAAGCTGCCACCTCCAAGCACATTTCATGGCCACTTCTCCCCATCTGGGCACTGCTCCAATGACCCAACCATAAATACGCAAGGGCAGGGTGCAGTATTTGTAACCCACAAGTATAGTCAATGGATTAACCAAGTCTTCTTGCAGGGAAGGTGACCACAGTTGGCTGCCCCTCCAGCAGCAGGATATTTTCAGCTGTTGCTTGAGCGGGAAGGCCAGACAGTTGGTTTGAAATGACCTCAAACAGAGGCTTCCACTGGGGAGTTTTAAGGCAGGGAGGCAAAGCTGAAGTGCTTTTAACTGCCCAGACAATGGAGGGGCTTGAGAAAGGAGGGAAATGCATTGCTTAGATGCTCTTCTTGGAGCTGTTTAACAGAATTAAACGGAAAACGTACAATGCTTACAAATATTGCCGCATTTTTATTAAAGATTCCTAGTAGTAAGTGCTTCGCTGATGTTAAGAGAGCTTTTATAAACTAATTATAAAGCACTTCTAATGCCTGTATTACTCACGCTTGCTTGCTTGCTTTTTCCTCCAGTTAACCCTCTCTGCTTCCCAGTCTTCCCTCTCTCTCTATTTTCCCTAAGTCACTTTGCTGCTGGCTCTCCGAACAAGGCTGCAAGGCACAATAAAGGCAAACAAGCCCCAGTTGCAGTGATTATGAGACCTCCACCTTTTCAGTCTTTTCTGTTGTGAAACGGCTAATCTGCTCCCTGGCCACTGAGCTGTGCTCCACCGTCCCCCCAGGCCAGCACAGACCTCCCAGGTGCCCACCCAGGCACTGGTGAGCTCCAGAAACGCTGCAACCCACCTGGGGAGCCGCACCAGAGAGCCTGCACCATTCCCCTGGGTGCTCCTTTCCCGAGGCACACAACTCGGCACAAAGCACAGGTTTGGGACTGCTCCACACATAATCAGCAAACCTATCGTCCCTCGGCCCCAGGTCGAAGAGATGCCAAGACTTTCCCAGGTGAAACACGCTTCAAGGACATTATAGGGACATGAGCTCAGGATGGAGAGAATGATAAATCACTTATATGCTCACGCCATACTATGAGTCCTCCCAGTACATAAACTTGTGCAAACCTTTCTTCAAAGCCCGAGGAGGCCTGGCTGCCCAGACCAAACTCTGACCTAGCTGGCAGCTCTCTCAGTCTCTTCTCAGAGCTACGATTTGAAGTAGGTGAGGGCTCGCACGCAGCTAAGCCTGGATTCCAGTGCTTGCCAGGGCCGGAGAGAGTTGCAAGGCTCTAACCTGAGCTTCCCCGATGTTTAATTTGGAGCTGTTATTTACGGGCATTTCCATGGGGCTCATGACTGCACCTGGCAAGCAGTGATGATGGGATCCTCACGAGACCCTGGGAGGTGGGAAGACAGAGAGGAGCCGTGGCTGGCCCAGGGTCACACAGGAAGTTTGCAGCACAGCCAAGAATAGAAGCCAGCCTTGATTAGACAGATTATATTATATTATATTGGAGGACCCTGGCCTAAATAGACGGAGAGACAAATAGGTAATGACTGCATGCCAACAGCTTCAAATTTGGGAATGCCCCGTGTTGACTTGAGCCTTTGAGACCCCTGGTCTGCTTGAACCATATGTCATGGTGTCTCGAATGCATCTGCTGAGAATAGGAAGAGAAACTGCAATTCTAGTGAAATTCAGCAGGCATTACTACTCTGCAGGTAGCTGGAGGAAGGCGTAGGGAACCTCCTTAGCCACAACATCAGCTGGTAAATGCAATTGTTCCCTTTGAAAAGGTGGCAGGTGGCTTGTTTCTCAGAAATTGCTATTAGAAG